TTTCTCGATCATTAAATTGCATAATTCCGATTTTCGTTCGCTTAACCCACGGTAATATCTCTCTACAAACGCTTTAGTGTCTTTTCCATATTTAACAGTAACGTTTCAATGCTGCAAAACTTCAAATAATCGGACTCTTCGAATATTCGAATTTTCGTAACAGCCTCAAGTGAAACCTCTGGTCCCACACTCCCAAAACGTCCACTTCGAAATCGACGAACTCCTTCTCCCAAATGTAACACGGTTCCGTCGCTTTTCGTCAAGGTTCGTCGAAGCCACGAGGCGTCTCTATATTTTCCTTCTCTCGTATCGATACAAGAATCGACGGACCGTCGTGTCGGCGAAAAAACACACGCTCATCCTTGAAATGGATTTTCTTCGTTCCCCCCTTTGCTCTTTGCATTAAGAAACTATTTATAACGACACCCTTCCCAACCTCGGATTGTGAAACTGTCTCGAGCTAATTTCCATCGCGATGCTCGACACGGAGGATCGGTATTCTTTCCATCACGGTGTCTGCCCCACTTTCCTCGATGATAAGCAAATTAAGAGGTTTACGCGAAGTGCATCGATGCACACGACGATCTTCAACTTGTACGAGATCGCGGTTTTAATTAAGATTCTCTGAAACAGGGCCGATTTCCACGAAATCTTGCGCGTTGCTCAGTGTTAAAACATCGAGAAACTCTTTGGAAGAGTAGAGCGCCGAAGGGAAAATATTATGTTGGATCTTAACTCTGTCCGAATAGAGGAAGAAAGCGGCAAGATTATTACGCGTACGATTTCATATTGTTCATGTTAATGAACAATTAACATACCACGAAGGCTTATCCAACGTGCTCTTAACACATCTTATACGCTCTATATTGCAACAGTTACAAAATAAACCTCGTTTAACCAGGATTTTCCAAAAGAGGAAGGAGAAGGAAAAAGTAGCATGATAATCACGTACTCAAGTGAATTCCTATTATACATGTTAATCGATATTAACATAATCCAAAGGTTTACTGGTTCTAACATGGCGCACCTTGCACGCTGTATTCGTAAATATCGAGAAGTCCATGGTTTTCCAAGCTTGAACCGAGAAAGAATCGTATGCAATAGATGTACAAAAATAATTTCGTTAACATATTCCAAGGATTTATCTAATTTCTTACCGTATTCGCTACACTTCGTGTTAAAATATATAATTTCCTTCATCCCAAATACTCCAAGGACTCGTCCATTTCCTACCATATTCGCTACACTCCAGAATTACGTTAAAAAATATATTTTTAAAATCTCCTTCGTTCGAAACATATTCCAAGGATTTATCTTGCCATATTCGCTACAATTCGAGTTGAAAAATATAATTTCCTTTATCCCAAATACTCCAAGGACTCGCCCATTTCCTACCATATTCGCTACACTCCAGAATTACGTTAAAAAATATATTTTTAAAATCTCCTTCGTTCGAAACATATTCCAAACATTTATCTTACCATATTCGCTAAAAAATGTCCTTTATCCCAAATTCTCCAAGGGCTCCTCTGTTTCCAAAATTACGTTAAAAGCTATATTTGTCGAATTACAATCTCCTTCGTCCGAGTGTTTCTCCATCTCCTACTATCCTCGATCCACTTTCACGCGACGAAAAATACGATCGAACCAGCACTGTTTCTCTAATGCACGTTGTAAAATAGATCGGAGAAGCAACGAAAAAGGCAAGAATTATCGCGTACACGCGGAAACATGGGTTTGCGTGTAGCCGGTGGTTCCGATCACAGGATTGACACCGTTTACGGCGTATTGATATTGGCTCGGTCGCTATTTTTAGTGGGCCGTATCGTATTCTAACGATGCAAACCGCAAACGTGACCGAGTTATGCGACGCGGGAGAACGCTACGCGTAGAAACAAGCGCCGCTACGTGACAAACACTCCGCTCATTACTGATACACTCGATGCGCGCGGCCTTATCACTTCTCTATCGATAATCGTCGGACAAGAAAAGCGTTCAGCTGTCCGTCGATTATCCGATCCTCACCTGGATCCGTTCCAGGAACACGCGAGTTCGACGTTCCACGTGAAATTCGTTGGGTAAACTAAACTCCGTTATCGGCCCACTATCTCTCTCTCTCTCTCTCTCTCTCCTTCTCTCTTCCTCACGTTGAATATCGAATTGGAAATTCTGTGGCGGCGTGCATCTGAAGGCTGGCTATTACACTGCTATCGGCTCTGTTAAACGAATTATAAAACGATCCTCTAAGGGTGGTGCTGCAAGCCATCGTTTCACATTATTCGGCAAAGTTAGTGCTACCTTTTTGTCACTTCCGGAAAAATTGGCTCATTTGGCGGAGATGCTGTTGGAGCAGGTAACAATTATACGAAAATATTTATTTATTTACACGGGTGTGTACGAACGTTACGTTGTATCAGGTACGACCATAAAATTGATATATTCTTATTTTCTCTATTTCTCAATTCACTCGAGTGTGTTGATGATAAGATCGATATATTGTTATTTGCATTATTTATTTTTCTACCGTAGACTTTTCTCTGCTTCTTTCACCTGTGTTTTCACTTTCCATGTGATTTTTTAGCTCACGTCACTCGGCTGACTTACCGTTGTTCATCGTTGTCGCACGAGTCACTCTGGCTAATCAGTCCGAGTGTCGGTGTTTTATCAACAGAACGTTGGAAATATTGCAACAATATCACCGGCAACATCTGTTCTGTTACACGCAAAAAGCTCCGGTCCTCTGGGATTCTCATCCTCGTCTAATCGAAAGGGTTAAAGAGGCTATCTTTTCTACGAACACCACTCGTTTCGAACGGTGTTAGAAAAGTGATAAAATGGATCGAGTAGGTGTTGCCCGTTATCAGTCAGTCGAAGTGATTCATAGATCGTACAGAATAGCAAGGCTGTTGTACACAGGTTGTTGATTCACGTTCGCGAAACACGGTGGGCAGCAAGTTGGAAACCAGGTCGAGGGAAATATACTTTATTTTTATTGAGCCGCTCTGCTCATGGAAGCCACGCCACGCCGCGCGTTAGAGAACGTATGCTCACACCAGCGTGTTGCTTTCGAAACGCATTAGACAATCTGATGTGTAAAAATATTCGGTTCGAAGGTTACGTCGTATTCCCTGTAGAGAATTTATGCGTTTGTCGTGTCACGATCGTGTGTATTCGGTGATATTGAAAATTCAGCGACGAAAGGGGGAGTTGCGCGATATGAAAACGAGCCTAGATTCCCACGGCGGGAAAAAGAAGAAAGGAAAAGTCGTGTAAAGTGTTCGACGTCTAAAAATATACGACGAATATTTCAGCGAGCACTGACATCAAGGATCCTCGAAAAGCCTCGAGATGCTCTTCTAAACTCGCCTAGCCGTACACCACGTAACTCTCGGCGACGCGTTACGACGAAGTTGAAGATCGAGGAGCGGTTGTCGTAGATCAGAAACTTCTGACAGAAACGGCGACCGGTCCGTTAATTTCGCTTGGCATATAAACAAGCGAACGAAAGAGGGACGGACGCGCCAGATACGCCATATTTAAAATGGTCTAAAAAAAGCAACTGATTATTACGACGATGATTTACATAACGGTGTAGAAACGAACCTGGCAATCTTTCGCTATCACCGTGCTGCTGGTTGCTGCACACAAACACTTATCTCTTCGTATATATGACGTTATCAAACAGGTAGATCTAATCTATATTGCAATCTAAACGAGCCCGGAGTAAGGAGATTGAAAATCTGTGTATGTGTGCACGTTGGGAAAGTAGTGGTAAAAGGAGAGGATTGAAAGTAAGAGAATTGAACACAGGCTGTAGAAAAGGAGAGGAGGATTTGAAGTAAAAGTATAGAAAATTAGAAGAAGCGAGTGTGTATTCTCGCGGAGTTTCCAACGTAAGGAGACACTGTTGGAATATGGTAGAAATCTTGGAAGAATCATCGTCGACGAAGTTGCCAAACGCTTACGGTCTACGGATTGGAGACAAAGAAAGTTTCGCTCGAGGAATACAAATTTCTTTGATGGATAGAAGGGGAGTGAGAGAGAAAGAGGGAAAACGTGAGGAACGTGAAACGTGCGCGGCTTCCAGCGATTCGAGCACAATCGAAGCCGTGCACGCACTCCTGGTCACGGCCCGTACGCACGCATTTGCATACGCGTAGCAATGCGGGGTGAAAGTACCGATACCTTGTCGCGTTCTCGCTTTGAACAAAGAGTATCGGACAGTTCTTGTTATTCTTGTCGATTTCAGATACTTTTCTTCCTATGAGTTTCCGTGGAAATTACAGGTCGACGTTTCTCACGATTTTTCACAGATCCTGGAGTTCGTTCCTCGCATCGAACACGAGCCTGACTCGTGGTACAGATTCTGGCGAAGGTGCGACGAAAACAGTTATATCAGTAAGGAAGATTAACTTTAACTCTAAATTTAATTTTACTTTAATACATAGAAATCGTAAAAAGTTAACGATCGAACGAAACCTTTAAGGACGATTGCAGTCAAATCAAATTTCCACGAGTCGCTGCGAATTTATTGTGAAAAGGATTTGTAAAGAATTGCTAAAGAGTCCTGCGCTAGTTGTAACAATAGCGTTATGGAAGAAAATTTCTTAAAATACTAAAAGAGAACGAAACGCGTTAAGTACCCGTAAAAAAGTTCTCGTCCTCAAAGGGTTAATACCTCCGAAAGATTCGTCTGGCAATAAAGTCGAGCCTCGGCTTCGATTTATAAGCTTCAGGCTTACCAAACTCGCGACTCAGATAGTAGTTCAATATTGTCGTTAGATAATCGTTATTTCTACTGTCACTCTTATCAGAAAACAAAACGAACCGGAGAACCAAGCGTAGACGCAGATGCTAAAGTGCATCGTGTTTAATTGCGTGCACCGCGGTCGCGGACAAAGACGCGAGATTTATAAATCTCGCGACCCTCTCGATCATCACGTCCAAAAATACTCCGTCACCTCACAGATAAATACTAATTTATATTTATCTTCTTTCAGATCGCTCTGGCCCTGCTACGCGCGCGAAAGAACGCGAGGATGTAGCCGCGCGCGTGACCATCAAGAATCAAATGCCATCACAACTGATGACAGTGGACATGCTTGATCTATAATTAACCCACGCTATACAACCAAAAACCTCACCTTCTAACCTCCGCGAAGAAACAAGAGAAAAAGACAAGAAGAAGAAAAGGATACAGACAAATCAACCAAAGAACAATCTAATACCAAGAAGAAGAAGAAAAACACAGCGAAAGATGGGGGGACAAGCAGAGGGAGCAAGGATCGCTTGGTCAGTGGCTCGACTTCCGTCGTGGCCGTGGAGAACGAGATTCCTGGGCCAGCTGGCCTGAGATATGCCAGCGTCAACAGGCTCTGTGATCACTGAAACCACCTCATCCTCGTCGTCCTCGTCGTCGTCCGCAACAGCAGTAGCAACATCTTCATCTTCATCTTCGTCGTCATCGATCTTAAGAACGGAAACGGCGTCGTCTGGCGGTGTTGCTAGCCATCGGCTGGCGATTGAAATCGAGACGATCGAGCGGAGGGTCTGCGCGACCCGACGCGACCTCTTCGTCCCTGTGACCGTCGATCCTCGTCCAAGCCGAGCTGTCCATTGTCCAGATCTGAACGCTTGTCTCGTGAACGAGTCACGATCCAGCCTGGATCAAGTCGACTGCCAGGCGATCCATTTCGGTTACGCCATTCCGGTGAACGTGGTACCGCTGGAGAACGATCCGGGACTGGCTGAACTCGTGTTGGATCACTCGAGCGAGTTGAGTAGACGCGCGGCGAGTTTTCTGCTCGAGCATCATCCGCAGTTGCGACAGCAGACACAGCAGGACATGGCAGCCACAGCGAAGCACGATCTGCGCCGAAAGTTCCCGACGGACACGTCCACGTCAGGGGACGAAGACATAGCTGCAATCGCGAAACAGATCAGCGACCACGCGGAGGCGATCTATCAGACCTGGAAGAGCCGTGGTCTAGCGCCAACGGAGATCTTGAATTGTCACAGCAATGCGACCGCTGCCGACAAGTTTGGAAGCGCTCTTACACCGACCTCGCCATCAAACACTTCTAATAACAACGAGAAGAACAGCCCTACAGGCGACGCGCCCACCACAGCGGTGGATATCTTGACTCAAACGCCGAATTTAGACAATGGCAACTTGGAGAAATTGGTGAACAATTTTGTGGTGGAAGATAAGGCTAGATTAGCCGCCAGGCAGAGGTCTCCGTCGAAGACTCTACCTTCGTCGATACAGTTCGCGCTGCAGAAGTTCGAGAGGAACTCGACGCAACAGCAACAGCAACAACAGCAACAGGCACAGACGTCTCCGTTGAAGAGCAGCAGCGTCGGTAGCCAAGCTAAGACGAAACCAGGGAACGTTCTATTGTCTCCAACTTCTCCTTTCGCTAATAAACCTTCTCAGATAGTGAAGCCTCAGGTGTCGACGAAGACTCCAGGTGCTCATCACAGAGAGGTGTTCCTGGAGACGATCGAGACCACGTTTCCAGCAGACATCACTCCGTCGAAGATCGTGGTGCAACAGAAGAGGCCAACGAGCACTGTGATCACCTCTCCGACAGCTTCCAGCCTCGAGGAATCATCGATGAATTCCGGATTGACTACGTGGCCGTTGAAGAATAAATTGAACGACAGTAAGAGAGTGACGGAGGCTTCTACGAAGGCTGCTCTAATTCAGGAAGTGAAATCGCTGGTGAACAAAGAAGAGAAGAGGAACAGCGGTGGTTCAAATTCGAGCGCCTACTTAGACGAAGTCGCTCGCGAGGAAGAAAGACTGATAAACGCTTTGAAGACAGGCTCGGTGATCACAGAGGAGCCAACGGAGAGAACTGTGCCTCTGACTCGTCAGAAACCGGCGATCAAAAGGGAGAAACCGAAGGTGGAGCCGGTTAAGCCGATAATCATTGGTCATAATCATCATGGCGGCGGTCTGGTCCCGACTTCCGTCGCTATGGTGAACAATGTGACGTCGACGACGCCTGGTAGCAACGTTGGTGCAGCGTCAGACGCGAAATCCCTGAGTAAGGACGATCTGTCTAGCATGTCTGTGGTGGATTACGCGAAAGTTCGATACAGAGCTGCTCAGCAGAATCCCCCTACTCAACAAAGGCTCGAGGAACAGAGAACGAACAATACTTTTAGTTCTACGGAGCAGTTGGTGTCTACGACTAGGTCCAAGTTCGAGACGGAGATACGAAAGGACAAAGAGAGTGCTAAAGAGGAGAAAGACCCTGTTACATCTAGATGGGGACCTAGGATCAATTCACCTAGGCCTAGGATCGAACAAGTGCCGCATCCCGAGTTAACCACGCAACAGAAGCAACATATTAGAGCTGCAGCTGCGACTGGTACAGGGAATAATCCTATCAGACCGTTTTTAACCAGAGGATCCGTTGCCGAGAGGGTTCTGATCTTCGAGAAGTGCCCTAGCGAGTTGCTGCTCGACAAGAGAGGACCGCGACAACCGGCGATTAACACCTGGAGGACTGGACACGAGGTGCAGAACAAGGCCCAGGTAAATCTGGTGCTAGTGGATTACTTGTTTCGTGGTTCGATTGATTTTTTCTTGCCGGGGAAAATTCCAAGCGACACACGGCACTTGGAACGAGTTTGAAGTTTTCATCTAGAAAAATTGTTGGAAAAGTGTGGTCAGAATTGGAGATTGATATTCGAGAATCGATTTAGAGAGACACGGGCAGTGAATTATCGGGAAGATTGTGAGGGAAATTGAGGGGATCGTGTGCAACGAACGTGGGTGCACAAAGAAAATCATGCAAGGCGAGGCACGTTTTCCTGGAAGCGGGTCTAATTCGGCCGGATGAGACGGTCTCGCCGTGGCGATGATCGGGAAGACGTGTCTTCTCTCGCGTGTTCCTCGCCACTCTGGGTGGCTTATATCGGGCGTTTTGGTCGCCGTCCAAATTCCTCCTTCCCGGGGAGGATGTTCGACCGGTCGACTCCTGTACTTTTGTCTCGAAACGAGTTCAAGATCTCTTCGCGTAGAGGTCGTATCTGCATGCCTTTCTCTTCGAGCCTTCGTCGATGCTCTTCCTCGTCTTCTTCTCTTCTTTGTCGCCGGGATCATCCGGGTTCCTTTCATCCTACCCTTTGGAACCTGGTACCACGTCACAGGTAACCCCCGCCTATCGAAATTCGTGTGTTGTTAAAGGAAACGTTGCTCGATGGTAGAAGAAAGGGTAGGAACATGTGGTACATATCTCGGAATAGCTGTAAGTAACAAATTAACAGGAAACATCTCGAGAAGTTTCACGTGAAACGTGCGAAATCTTGCGGACCTTACAGAATTGTTTAATTCGTATCTTTCTCTAAAGAAAGTCCAAATCTGGCAATGTCGAATTCGGGTAGAAATGAAAGAAATAACGAAATTTAATGCGAAAAAATTCGAGTGTTACCTGTAATCGCAACGAACGGTATTTAAACATCTGACCACAGTCACCTTCTTCAAACAACGTTACAATTTTCAATTTGGTAAACCTACTTCTTCGAGGCGAATGCTGAAAAAGAAGGACACATTCCATCGCAGGAGGCGTGCAATCAAAGCAACAATAAGAGAAACACAGGCCTAGCGATCGAACGATTAAGAAAGAAACGTTGACGCGAGCCACGAAGTGGCTCCTGGATCACGGCCAAAATGCGAAGGAATATACCTGGCACGGTACTCCTGCCAGAAACCGTTATCGCGCTAGCTTTTCCTAGTCGAACATGGATATATTCGTCCTTAGTGCATCCACCGAGGCTATAATCGTTCTCGACAATCTCCCCATCGACACCGTTTTTCGTTTCCTCTTTCTTCCTTCGCTTCTTCCCGCAAGCCCGATCTACTAGCGCATAATAGGAAGGTAAACGTAACACGGAAGCGCGTGATCTTAATCGAGAAATCCTCTTCAGGTAGCCGAAGATCGCGTTAACCGCGATAGCTACACACAGCAGTGATAAGCCACGATTCTAAAACCGCGTTGCTCAACGCTCGAACAATGCACGAGGCTCGAGGGCTTGGCTTCGCCATTGTTATTAGACGGTTATTGCGTTCCCATTGTGCCACGAGATCGGGCCTGCCTCGAGTTTGCCTCGAGAAATAACTTCCACCGTCTTCGCCGTTAGAATTTTCGTCGTGCAATCTTGTCTCCAACTTCTTTGCATATTTTCTCAACGTCTTTTCTCTTCCTCGGTATGTTTTCTTCTTCTTTGTTTGCTACGCTTTCGTGGAAGTGTATCGGAGTGAAATAGAGGTTTTTGCAATTTACCGCCTTCTACATTTCACTTTGATCGATTCTCTTTATCAAATTTACCGCTCGAATTTTTCCGTAATTTTGTTTCTCCGGTTTCTTCCCTTTCTGGAGATTCCGGCGAAACGTTAATTAATCCCCTCGTTAGGCAGGAAAAACGGCGTGCTCCACTCTTATTCAGTATTGAATTCTCCTTCGTTTTTTCGGGGGGAAATTCTGGGTCAAAGGAGGAGGCCAGCTTTGACTCGCGACACGGTCGTGAAAGATTAATTAATCCTCGTCAGAGGAAATCGCGAGAAGTGGTAGCAAACGTGAGATAACAATGGAAACGAAGATTCCAAGGATTCCAGGGTGCGTGGAGAGAAGCTGGCGAGAGAAGCTTGAGGATATTTATGGATGCAACGAGTGCAGAGGCTGCTGCTGCATCGATTGCTACTGCCTCAGCTCTCTCTCTCTCTGCTTGCATCTTCAGCTTTGCACGTAGAGGAAAAGCCAATGGAAAACGTGGAAACTTCTCCGAGAGAGAGAGAGAAAGAAAGAAAGGAAGAAAAGTGAAGAGACTAATAACGTGGAAGTTGTTCGAGGTAGCCAGAAGTCGATGTATGTTTGTTGCCTCTCACTGACGTTCCATTATTTTTTTATCCTTGGGACCGAAAAGAGTTGTTGCATATGGTAACGTGTTTTCGTCGTCGAGTTTTAGCGATTATTAGTCATTTGAAGCCGAGTCGTAACAGAAGAGAAGAAAGGAAGAAAAGGGTACTGGAGTGAAAAAAAGATGCAGTATCTCGACGATGAGAAGGAGTATCTCGATTAATTTAATCGACAGGGAGGAACGTTTGTGTGTCTCTCGTTGCTTTGGTCAACGCTGACTCACTGCTCGGTTTTCGTTACGATTAATGTTATTCGACCTCGAGAGCAGAGGAATAAAGCGCTCGCGAGGACCACCATGGCCATAAGTGGAAACGGTCCGCTCTCCCGTGCGTTATCGTCATTCTCTCCGTTAAATAATACCTCCACCTTTTGAGGTTACATTGTTATTGTTTATACACCAGGGTGGTCCATATTTCGCTTCGTCATTTCAGACTATTGGTCATGCTGACCAAGTGGATTAATCGAGAATGTACCAGAGGCGAAATGTCTGGAATTTAGCGTGCAAAAGAAGCGAAAGAAAATGTATAAAATTAGCGAGTAAAAATTTCAACAAAAAAATCCAATCACTGTAAAAACGAACTTCCCCATAGAAAAATTAGAAATTTAAATACTCACATTTCGGTAAGAAAATCTATTCGAAGGAATGAATTGGAAATGAGTAGGCGAAGTAACGAAAGATCGAATATTGGTACCGTTATGGTAATTGTAAGCCGCGAAGCTGAATGGTAGAAGCAGTGTCGTTAAAATTGTACAGAGAATGATTGATTCAGCGATAAAACGGCTTAAGGCGATCACGCGCGGTCAGGCAAGGTTCCAGGTATCGGGTAATTAAAATTCCTATTCGAAAGGACGACGGTGACGGTATTGCCCCATATGGGAAAACGAGAAGACACGGGAGCGCAGCGTGAGATCGGTGGCAGAACGCGCGAAAGGAAAATAGGAAAAAGTTTCGTGCCGCCCTTGGGGTTAACGGCGAGAAATCGTTCTCCGGCGGAGTATCTGCCGCGACTGACTGACTCATTGTGGCCGTTCCATATTGGATATCGTGCTAGATTTTAAAAGGCCGTCGACTGTCGCCTTGGTGGCGTGGAGCGCGGACTCTATCGCCTCTTATGGCTGAAAAGCGACTTCGCCGGGGCGGGAAAGTAACGCTCCGTTGGAATAATCCAGACCAGGAAGAAAATGTTGTTTGAATTGAATGTGGCTAATTGTACACGGGCACCACGGTTCGCGCAGCAGCGTTTTTTTTTTTCAACGAGGTGCACTTTCACAGGTTTATGTACGAATTTCAATTCGAATTCAAGTTCGAGTCGAGATTGGTGTTTATTGGTTCAACAGTTCCTGTTTAAACTTAAATGTACTGCGTCTGCTTTCAATTCGAACGTTTCAATCTCGTGCCGTATTCAAAGTTTTTATGTCGAACGGGAATGCGAATGTTTAAATTCACGTTCGAACGTGTATATTCAATTTCCAACGTCCAAGTTCAAATTGAAATGCTTAAATTCAAGTTCAAATATTTAAATTTCAATTCAAATGTTCAAATTCACATTCAAATGTTCCAATTCAAATTGAAATGCTTAAATTCATGTTCAAATTCAAATTGAAATGTTTAAATTCAAGTTCAGATATTTAAATTTCAATTCAAATGTTCAAATTCAAATTGAAATGCTTAAATTCATGTTCAAATTCAAATTGAAATGTTTAAATTCAAGTTCACATTGAAATGTTTAAATTCAGGTTCAAATTGCAATTGAAATGTTCAAATTGAAATTGAAATGCTTAAATTCAAATTCAAATGTTAAAATTCGAATTGGTATTCAAACTCGACCGCTCAGAATTGAAATTCAAGCGTTCCAACTGAAATTCAGCCGTCTAAAATCCTATCGAACCGTTCAGTCGCGAATTGAAGCGATTACATTCACCTCGAAATCTTTTCAATTCAACTTCAAATCTCCGAGGATCCAATTAAGCATGAAATCTGACTTTGAAACTGTTCCCCGGGCGCGCGCACCGTCGTTCCTGATGAATCCAATCAACGAATTACGAAGCCGTCTCCTCCAACTTTCCTCCCAAGGAACATCTGATTGAATCGAGTGCCGCACGGTAACGCTGTTCCCTTTCGACCTCTCTCCGCTTCCACTCTGCTCCAATTAATCTGAAATATGTTTACGGAGCCGATAGGTGGACGAAAGTGGGCAGAAATTGAAATCGAACGAAAATACTAATTCCGATCGAACGTTTAAAGGTCAAGTATTTAGTATCGAAAACGTTAGAATGGCGTGGGGTCCTTGGCGATACGAGATTGGCAGAACGTTGGAGGGCTCCCGATCGAGAGGCGCAGTCCGAAATTCGCAATGTCAATTGGGGAAGGCTGATTGACGGTATCCCGTGTGTCACGCGGCGGACCGTGCCAAACTGAGGCCGCAATAATTGCACCAACCGTTTCGCCTAATCTATACCAATGTCACGCAACATGCACCCGATCCGTTCCGGAATTTCGAAACGGTGAACCGTCTTCATTCTGATCGATAGGTAAATTACACCGTTATCCCGGTGAACGCTGCTATTACCACCTTGATATATCCCGCATTCCTCCTTTTTCTATTACACACTTCTCGTTCAGCTTTTCAATGCCTTCTCGAGACCGTTTATGAAGGAAAATTTTCTACAAAATTCAGTTAATTAACCCTCCGAGGAGGATAGGACACGTATGTGCGTTTATAAAGCACTATGAACGCAACCGATAAACTCATATTTTTAAGCAATAAAAATAGTTCGTGTGATCGTATTTTTGAGAAAAATGCAATTTTCGTATAATTTAGCCCTCTGTGGAGGCGGAGACCTTTTTTCTTTTCTTCCATTCTATTTAGAATGGAATATTCTATAACGTTCATTAGGAAAATGTGCGATAAAGGTAAATCGGTAAGAAAAGTTGTCAGAAATTTATGTATATATTTATGTATTAACTAACCGGAAGTCCGTATCGGGCTTTACGTCCCAAAAACGGGGTCTCGACAGGAGAGGGTTAGTTTGAAAAAAAAACCAAAGTAGTGACTGAAGCAATCAGTACTTCTATATAGCACATAGTCCTCTGTCAGCAAAGCGTTAAAATATGGAATGCTGTACCTGGAACTGATATCAAATGCAGAATACAGTTCTAAATTTTGTAAACGTTTAAACGGTTCAAATTGAGGCTTTCGTAACTATCGTGAGAAATTTGCAATACATTATTATCAAATGAAGGTGTATCCTGTTCGAAGCCAGTTTAATTAGTAGAGCATTATTTTTCTGCGTACACTTTGCGTACCTGGACACTGTAATTCGTTTGTTCGCTGAAAAGGTAATTGCACTTGGTTTTGCATATGTAATTGTACAATTGTAACGATTAATCGAAGAAATGGATAATCGGTTGATCCGTTTTATCCGGACGATCTATCCGATCCAGAGCCTCTAACAGTTATCCACTCGGTCACTCGAGCGGACGTTGCCTTATTTTCGCCCAATGGAACGGCGTACATTATTGATCTTCCTTAAACGGATTCCACCGAAGGAGCTCTATCGCTATTTTTATTGCTCGCAGTATTTTTTCACCTGTCTATTATTGCCGCCGCTGCCGTTAGCCTTGTTGCTATTTCTGGTCGTTAATGTCGTACTCGAATCTTCACGAATTCTCCTACACGCTTGCCGAATTATTTCGTAGTAAATTCTCGCGTAGCTGTAGGAAACTATCTTTCTCTCTTCTTCGAAAACTACCCCTTTGTCAAAATGATCGATATTCTTTCAAATTTTTTGCGTAAGAAATGATTCACGTTCTCTGGAATTTTACAGTGGAAATAATTGACGTTCTCGTGTCTCGTTGTGTCCCGCTGAATTAGTTACAGTTCCTCTTTTCTGCGAAAACTACCCTTTTCGTAGAAGAAAGAATCGACACTCTCTCGAATTTTATAAAGGAATAAGTGACACTCTCTCGAATTTGACAAAGGAAAGAATTGACATTCTCTCGAATTTGACAAAGGAAATAATTGACATTCTCTCGAATTTGACAAAGGAAATAATTGACATTCTCTGAAATTTGACAAAGGAAATAATTGACACTCTCTCGAATTTTACAGAGGAAATAATTGACACTCTCTCGAATTTGACAAAGGAATAATTGACACTCTCTCGAATTTTACAGAGGAAATAATCGACACTCTCTCGAATTTTACGCAGGAAAGAATTGACATTCTCGAATTTTACAAAGGAAACAATTGACATTCTCTCGAATTTTGTAAAAGAATAAGTGATACTCTCTCGAATTTGACAAAGGAAAGAATTGACATTCTCTCGAATTTGACAAAGGAAATAATTGACATTCTTCCGAATTTTACAAAGAAAACAATTGACATTCTCTGAAATTTTACAAAGGAAATAATCAACATTCTTTCAAATTGTTCCAAATGAAATAATCGACATTCTTTCAAATTGTTCCAAATGAAATAATCGACATTCTTTCAAATTGTTCCAAATGAAATAATCGACATTCTTTCAAATTGTTCCAAATGAAATAATCGACATTCTTTCAAATTGTTCCAAATGAAATAATCGACATTCTTTCAAATTGTTCCAAATGAAATAATCGACATTCTTTCAAATTGTTCCAAATGAAATAATCGACATTCTTTCAAATTGTTCCAAATGAAATAATCGACATTCTTTCAAATTGTTCCAAATGAAATAATCGACATTCTTTCAAATTGTTCCAAATTAGTTACAATTCCTCTTTTCTGCAAAAACTACCCTTCACCCTTATAAATGAAAAACCTGCGCGACCACGAAAATTCGAATATTCCAAAATATTCTTTAAAAAACACAAAATACAACGAACATTCCCATATCACGCTATACAACTCGAAAATTGATCGCAATCAAAATCGCTAAACTCCAAAACAACGTCGCGGAAGATTCTCCCCGACAAAGTGTCCTCGATAAAAATCATCGTCGTAAGGACCATCGGTGGGGGCAAAAAGGAGCAAGTTAGAATGGTAAACAAGCAGCACGTGGAAAGATCCTTCGGTTCCGTGACCGTGATGCAGCCAACACCAGCGGGCCTGCATAGGAGGCGGCTTATGATGTAACTATAGTGACATGGACAAGGCGCGGCGAGATGCATTAACAACGTCGCCCGTCCTCTTTGCATTCTTCGGATCCTTGGCGTCGCGTAACAGGATGTCGCGTCCTTGGTCGCCTTCGAACTGGCGAATCGCGATCTACGAGGAACCGGAAGTGTGCCAGCGTGCGTCTCACCTCGCCTCTTACGTAAACTCGCAGAGGAACAACAAATGGGAAGAAATGAAATTTTCAGCGGAGAACGCTGTTTCTTTACCGAGAATACCGGTTGCATCGATACTTCGCGCTTTTTAACAGGCTGGAGAACGCCTCGGAGGAACCGGAAGTTGCCTCACCGTGTTTCCTTTGCTCGTAGCGAAGTATCTTATGCAACGCGACGAGAGAAAAACAAATGGAGGAGATAAACTTTTGATTTGGAGAACGTCGTTTCTTTACGAGCGTTGATCGTTTTATGGATCGTACTGTTGCATCGATGCTTCGGGATTTTTGAGAAGGTGAATCGATCGGAGAACGTCTCGGAGGAATTGGAAGTTCGTCTTTTGTTTGTAATAAAGTATTTTATGTAAGATAATAAAGGAGGAATGTTTTTCTTTATTATCTTTGGGAGTATAGATCATTTTGTGGATGATATTGTTGCTACCGGTGGGAAAATCGCAGCCATATTGTGTAGGATTGAGGAATGATCGTGTGCGCAGAGAGAGAGAGAGAGAAATAGAGAAACGTGGGCTGCGATTTTGCCATTTTTCGCGATCCCAATCAGTCTCGCTGCAAGAACGATGCTTGTTGCTTCTAGACATACGCGAAAGACAAGACGCAGCAGAAGAGCCTGCCGCCGCATACAACACTTCAGAGGCACGTGAAGGCGAACAGAAACGTTCACATACCACGGTAAATGTTCATTCAGAACGCGTGTAAAGGTAACCCTCGTACCAAGTGAAAATTTCTACTGTAGTTAGTAGTACCAAAATGGAGCAAACGCGGCAGAGATTTTGCACAGTGGAATTAAGCGAATCGGAAGTATTCCAAAAACTGTTATGACGTTAGTCAAAGATAATTTCATAATAATTTTAATGATCATTTTTTTAAATTTCAAAGATAATTCCATAACGATTTTAAGGCCAATGTCACCGAAATTTGAAAGATAATTTCTCAGAAATTTCAGAGGTAATTCCATTAAAATTTCAAGGCCAACGTCACCTAAATTCGAAAGATAATTTCTCAAAAATTTCAAAGATAACTTGACAAAATTTCCAAGGAGAGTTTTCCTAAAAATGTCGAAAATAATTTCACAGAAATTTCAAAGATAACGTCCCCAAATTTTTAAGGATAATTCAGATATTTTCGAGGTACCAGAGCTGCCTTTCCACGACACCCTAATATCCACCAATTACAAAACCACCTCGAATAAAAAATTTCACCGAAATATTCGCAGATTCTACTTCCCAGGAGGGAAACCATTGCCCTTATCGCAAGTAGAAGCGACCATCGCGAGGATCACCGCTGCTTTTCAGAGTTTGCCCGATCATCGTGCGTCCAGGTCCCAATTCCACACGATCACAAAGGTAAAAACACGAAGGAAAAGAAAGAAATACCGAATGGGACAGAGCATGTCGTTGATTCCATGAATAATTCTCCGTTGGTTTCTTCCTTCTACGCTCCGATTTGATCTTGACCATTCGCGTGTTCCCTCACGTGGGCCGCTATTTCACGTGGGAAAGCCGTAACTCGGTCTGTATAGCTTGGAACAGCTGCATACAAAGGCTATGATTTGTCTTGCAGGCATGCGACTTGCCGCTCTATTGGAAGGTGCCGCTTTTCCTCGCTGCTGGCGGGGACCAGACCGGCTACGTCGAGATGAACGCGTTCCTTGACTTCTGGAAAGAGTAAGCAACACATCCTTTCCAAAAATAAAATCCGATCCCTTATGATGTATAAAAGGCTAAAAATACACGGCGATTATTTCCTCCCTCTGGGACATTGTCGGAAGACAAACTTTCCAACCACTGTGCGTTTAATATAAGAAATAGAAAAACGTGCATTCGAAGGAGATACGGAAATTCTGAAAATTTTCATTTCCGTATGTTACTTAAATACACTTCCTTTAATCCTCCAGAAAAATTGATCAATTATCTTAATTATCTTCTCTCGGTACCGGGAAACCACACTCTCGCGACGAAAATTGTCACGAAAAGTAGAAATTTTCAAATCAAAATTCTATTCAAACTTTCAACGAGAATGAAATTTTTTGCACTAAACGTACACTACTGGTGATTAATATTTACCGCGTTAATTAAATAAAAGTTGTAACATCCAGCGGATTCGAAACTTTTCACATTTTTCCAAATTTACCGACGTTTTCGCGAAAAATTCACCAGTGTCGAATAATTCGCAGGATATCGAACAGCCACCACGACGCGGCCAGCAAGTTTATCAGAATCACAACCCGGGGCCAGAGGAACAATATACTGCCGGAGGATTTGATCCCGTTGGTGCAAGATGTGGTCGAGACCCACCCCGGTTTAACTTTCCTCAAAGAGGCTACTGAGTTCCATTCACGCTACGTACACACGGTACGTATTCGCGTGATAAATATTTGCCGGGGTATTTCTCTCTCGTGTGTAAAGAAGGGAGCAGCGAGAAAGAAACGATTCCACGGAGGATGGTCCGCTGGTTTACGCAACCGTGGATCGTGTTGAATTATTCAAAGACCGTTGATGCTCGCCTCGAGCAATTATCAAGCGCTCCTGGTCATTGGAAAATCATCTTAACGAGCCGACATTATGTTGCCTCCGTTCCATTCACCGTCCTCCATTTAACGCTGCGATCTTTTTCCTTTGTTCTCTCTTTCTCTCTCTCTCTGAAAGTAACCAGCTTCTTGGGCATATTTACACGGCAATCTGTGAAATTTGTACACTCAATATTGACGTTGACACTGTAGAAAAGTGTGCAAAAATTGGAAAACTTTGTTAAATACGGAACAGTCGAATTGTCGCTGATTCGAAATTTCAATGGGACTTCTTTTTATACTGCAGGTGATCGCGAGGATATTCTACTGCGTGAATAGAAGCTGGAGCGGAAGAATCTCCGTGGCGGAGCTGAGACGGAGCAATTTACTGTCGGTGATCGCGATTCTCGAAAACGAGGAAGACATCAATCAAGTAACAGCTTATTTCAGCTACGAGCACTTCTACGTAATTTATTGTAAATTCTGGGAGCTGGATAGAGATCACGACCTGTTCATCGACAAGACAGACCTCACTAAGCACAATGACCATGGTGAACATCAATCTTCTTCTTTATTCGTTACCTTGACAAAAAGAAATTCCTATTTTTTTCTCCCATTCCTCAATTCTACCGTGTATTCCAGCTCTGTCTAAGCGCATGATCGCGAGAATATTCAGCGGTGCAGTGACCAGAGGCGGAGTTAAGAGCGGAAACGGCGTCCAACAGCCTCAAGATAAAATGAGTTACACTGAATTTGTGTGGTTCTTGTTGAGCGAGGAAGATAAGAACCATCCAACTGCTATAGAGTATTGGTTCAGGTATATTGTACAATTATCGAGTCATGTATTATTCCATGGATGATGGATGTTTCATGTGGGATGATGGATAGGTGCATGGACCTGGATGGTGATGGATACTTGTCGATGTACGAGTTGGAGTACTTTTACGAGGAACAGTTACATCGTATGGAAGCTATTGGGCTGGAAACGTTACCGTTCAAGGATTGCCTTTGTCAGGTACATTTTTCGGAACTCGTTTACGAATCATTCTACGAGTTTCAACAATTTTCTCTATGATTCTGAACAGATGTTGGACATGATCAAACCAGCGACACCAGGAAAAATCTCTCTTAGCGACCTGAAGAAATGTAAGATGACTTCTATCTTCTTCGACACCTTCTTCAACCTCGAGAAGTACCTGGATCACGAGCAAAGGGATCCTTTCGCGTCTGCCAGGGAGCATGACTCCGATGGCCACGAGGTACCAACTTGTCAGAATTAATCTGACGTGAATGAAATTATTATAAGAGTATTATCTCGTTGATATCTGTTATCACGTATCTTTTGTTTTCTTTGAAACAGCTGTCGGATTGGGATCGATTCGCGGCCGAGGAGTACGAATTGTTGGTCACCGAGGAAAGTGGTAACGAACAGAACGAACAGAAGTAAGTATCGATTTCTGGCGACTTGCGTTGCACACGGTTCATCTATGCAACTATAAGTCACGTATAAACGTACCACTTGTTAAACTGTGGTAAATAAGAAAACAAAGTATGAAAAAGTTTAGAGACCTCGTTTAATCTCGGTATAAAATTATTCTGTAGTACTGAAAAATATTGCAACAGTATTTTAATAAGAATGACGTGAAAAGACATATTTCGTCTGGTAGAAAATATGTTAAAAAGTGTTTGAACGTTGTACGATAAGAAGAAAAGATAGATGAACCGATTAAGTTGCTGGCATAGAAAGTTCTTGCTTACCATAACGAGCTACGAAACGATACTCGTAGCTCTATTTCGAGTTCTGGCATGCGTTGTCGTTAGATAGACAGTATGCCCCTCCCGCTGGCGGGACCTAACAAAATTCACCACCTTGTACTGTGACCGTAATGACAATGGTGCGATCTTATTGCGTTTGTTGCAGGCTGTGTGATGATGAAATGTAACCATCATCTGCAGCTCAGTAAGTAAAACAAAGACAAAAGAAAGAAAACCAGAAATGCATGGTATAGTGATGCACGAGACGCCCGTGTATGCATAATTTGCATTGACTAGAGAATCGGCTAACCGCTTGTTCCTTTCTTTTCTTTTTTTTTCTTTTTTTTTTTTACTTTTCTTCGTTTATTTTGTTCACTTACTTTGAATTATTCATTATCAAATGAATCTTCATAAAGAGAGACTTGTTAATTAACGCCGTGAAAAAAGAAGGCAGCGAATTTGTTTTCGAAATGTGAAAAAGAAACAACACATGAATATTCTCGTTACACGTTCGTGAGCCACGAGTGAAATCGAAATATTGGAATTTCAAATTAATTGCACAATTCTCTCGTAATTGTTTGCTTTCTAGGTACTGTTTATTTTGTCGCTTGTTACTAAAGACTTATTCGTCGTTCTTAATCGACTAATTAACTCTCTGATATTTTATATTATACCGTAGAGTGCTTTAGTTCAGTCACTTATAGTCCAACAAAAGTTCAAACACCTCTTTCTTCGAGATTTATCTGAAACGAAAACATTCTATCATTCTCAGGTCGATTGATTCCATGTCGGAGGACGTGTTTTCCCAAAACCTGGAGATTATGGACGGTGAATCGGTGGACATGCTTCACAACACGGACATCCAAGCCCAATCGTGGGATCAGGATAATCCAGATGATCTACAATCTATGGATCAAGCGGATTCTCTTCAACAGTCCAGAAATCAATACTACGACAGCGGTGACAGCGACGATTACGCTGAGAGCGACAATTGACCAGGCAGAGGGAAAACTGTACATCAGCAAGAAGGAAGAAGCAAGAAAAGAAAGAAAATTGCCTTCTTATGGGGGTGATTCAGTAGTCTAAACGCGTAGTTCTTTTCCATATAGTAGGAGTGTCGTGTAATCTCTTCGTGAACAGCCGTGTACCATGGCAGAACAATTGAATAATCGATTGGATATGAATTTATTCGGTGATGCTAATTAAATCGCCTCTCTGAAGTACAAAGGCTCGCGACAATTAATTCAAAACGATCTACCCTTATCGAAGAATATTTAAACAACCCTAGAAACGTTTCCACAAGACGAAACCGAAGGTTTTTTAAAAAGTTAGACAATTTTTAATCATTTAAAGGGGTAGAAGTGTGAAGCAGTCCTCTTTGAGACGGAGAAGCATCGCCGAATCGATCCGTAACTATGAATAGTAGGAGGAATCAGGCCACGGCACGACGGTGTGTGATAAGCAAGCGTCATTGTTCAACCTCTTCTACGATATACATACTGTGTACTTCACGTTGTAAATAGACAGCAAATCACGGACCCTTATTTTTACTTAACGCGAGCGAGCGAGCGAGCGAGAGAGAGAGAGAGAGAGAGAGAGAGAGCGTGAGGGAGAGTGTGTCACTTGAAAAATGCGGGTCTTTCAATTGCTGCAGCCGTTTAGTAAGAAACTCGACCACCGACAGTAGTTCTAGAAACCTTGGGGAAAAATTCAACGAATTACACTTCTTTCTTTTTATTTTTTACAAATTCAAAGGAAGTTACTTTTAAGTTAAGCGTAAAATATGAAATTCCTTGAACGAAATTGTATTCTAGTTTCTCTCTGAAGAGGAGAATTCACAGTTCGAGGCTGCAACAAATGGAAATTGTGTGTCGAAAGACTCATTCATCGTTGGATTCGCGAGTAAATAGGTGTTATGCGCCCTGTATAAAACGTCTTGCAAGCCATAGTGCTCAGCGAAATATACAGGGGACGTTTCGAGGAGATCGAGATGTGATCGTGACAGTAAGCTAATTGTTTGTTTAACGACCCGTGTAATATTCTTAAGAAAAAAAAAAGGAACAAGAAAAAACGGGTGCGTACTCTTTGTTCGAAAGTTACAGACCGCAGTCTACGATTGCTGTTTCTTTTCCACGAGTCTGGAGGTGTGAAAAAACAAGCCAAAGATGAGAAGCGTTTCTCTTCAGCGCGACAGTAGAAGGGAGACGAAGAAACAGATAACTGAACACTGGTCCTGCTGTAGATGAATACAACATCCTCGACCATAAGTGACGTTCGTTTGTTTCGAGATTCAATGAAGGGGGGGAAACGTTCCTTGGTGGAATCCCCCGTCTAAACTATTGGACGTTGAGTGGACGTACTAAGCTTTTCTTAATCTTAAGTTAAAGTTGCTTCATAGTGTTCTCCACGAAACGATGCATTCTGAATATCGATTGTTCTATTTTTCTTCATCTTCATCTTTTTCTTCTGCTCTCTTTATTTTCTTCTTTTTTTTTTTTTAATTTTACTTACTTCGATAAGGTGACAGAGATTTTATGTACTTTTTAACTGGTTGTTATAAGGAATCATTGTGGTTTATTAGAGCATGGAATGGTCCCCGATGGTGGACGCCACGGAGATTCGATTTTTAGATTCCTTTTTCGTCGAGATAGCACCATGAGATGAACGTTCGAGTGCGTGCCGAAGTTTCGTTGAAAGAAAAAAGAAAAGGAAAGAGAATGTGTCCACTGCCGCAGCGAAGGGCACTTAAAAAACGCGGCTCGACTTAATTAATGATTTTTGCGACTTTTGAGAACGAGAACGTTGTACCCTGTTATCTTTACATTTGATTGTTACTTGTTAAAATGATTATTGCTCGTCAGATTTTATTTCTGCGTGAATTCTACGTATTGTTGCTCCATTAAACTTATAATTCTACGAATATATATATGATTATTTCTGATTGTATGCGTAGCTCGAAGAGTACCAGGGTACAATCGAATTAATTAGGATTCGCTTGAGCCGCAAAGACTGCTGGATATGTATATATACATTAATTTCGTCTACAAGATTTAATTTTAACCGCGTATACATATATGATATTACTCTAGTCGAAATGTGTGCTATAATTCGCATAACGATGACCACGTGAGATGGCGAGTTAATTTTAGATCTGTTTCGTGTTATTTGTTAGTTAACGGGGCTGAATTGCGAGCAACGTGAATGATATGTGTGAAAAATTGGTTGTCGTAAAGGATATTTAGTCCTGGATCACGTTACAGATAACCTAACCCATAATAATATCACGGAGAAAATCACGCTTCGTTAATATCTTCGATGGCTCGATTAATAGTGTTAGGTTCATAATCGAAAGGTCATAGGTTCGAATCCTGGTTCTTGAGGAAAACTCCATCTCAAGAATTATATTTTTCTCTTTAAAATAACTCGTAAGAAGTATTCAGACGATAGAAACATATCAAAAACTATTGAAAAATTAAATAAAAAAGTTTAATTGCACCATAAAATAATTAAATTGACAACTGTTCCAGAATTAAATATTTACGTTGAAGACGGTATTTCGATCGATACTTGTGAAATACGACAGTGTTATTCTTGTTGCTGTTACGTCCCTGTTCGGTTGATAACGTGATCCGGCTGCTTTAAGAACCGTTTTTTAAATCGTTTATTGAGAACTCGTGTTTACCAAGTATCGATATCATTGCTGACCAAAACACACACTCCTTTACGTCAATAAATTTTCACGGTTGACAAGAAAACAGAGAGAAAAGAAAAGAAAAGATACGTAGGTGTTCGATAGGGGAAAACCTTGCAGAATCGAATTCGTGAATTTCGTCGTAACGTTTCTTCAAGGGTACCTGACCTTTTATTTGGCGGACTGTAAACTACCGTAAATGTTTTACGAATGACACAAAAAGAAAAGGAGGAAACCTTCTTTTCAACGAAATAGGAGATTACGGAGAATTTTCAAAGATGTCGTGAAAGTTCGGGATCCAGTATGAATCTCCAAATAAGAGGTTAACGTTTACTGCGCAGTTATTTAATTTCTCTATTGCGTTTCCGCATTCAGAGAACCGTTTTTTCGCGAGTGATCGCTTTTGTTGACTGTCCAAAGATGTAACTATTAACACTTACAGTTGTATCTTTTATATAGCTCGTTATGATTTTTTTTTTTTTACCATATATATGTATATATATGTGCACATCTCTCTTCGTAAGTTTCATCGTGACAAAAGTAGCAGCGCGCCATCGAGTTTCCATTGAACGGAAGTTGAGACACGCGAGGGAAAAGAAAAATTAATAGGACGAAGAAGAACGTCTGGTTATTATTATTCGTCATTGCATTTGGCCATGTTTTCAATTGTTATATTTATTCATTATTCTATGATAGGTTTATCACTGTTCTAGCGATTTGTTACGCGATTTCTTGAATCGAGCGTCATCGCCCACGATTTCGTGTCTTTCTCTAAGGAAAAAATAAACGATTATTTTTCTTCGTGGGGGAAAATCGTACTTGTGGTTCGGATTCGCACACGCGTGCTTAAACAGTCTCGGTAAAATAGACTCACGTTCACCATTTACCTACATTTTTATTTATATATTTTATCTGTGCATGAGTAGACAACTAAGGTAATTTTGCAAGTTAATAAAAATGAATGGTAAAAGAACTATTGCGTGTAAAGAATTCTGTCACCTTTTTCCCGCCTTTTCCCCAAAACTCCGCCATTATTCGACCTATGTTTTCAGGTAGGTATTTATTCTTTTATTAATTCGATAAAGAAGCATATCTATTTTATCGATAACACAGAGTACCACCAGTTGGTGAATAATTCTTATCAGTAATAAGTATAGTAAAAAAACTATAATATCATTAAAGTAATTTATCTTGACACGCCAAAAATAACATCAAAGACGAGATACAGGATAAACCTAACACCTTATGAAACTTTGTGTCCACGAAATGGGGGCCGAGAATACCCTTACCATTTTTATGTCGCATTTAACGTTAATGATTTAGCTTAAATAGAATAAGATTACAATATTAGCAGTGGTTTTGAAATTAAACGTAACTATGAAATTACAAATAAAAAAGTAACGTAATTGTTTATTAGTAGACTGCTGTCAAAAAATAATGAACAGTTCTACCCACACAATTCACTGTATTTAATTGTGCTCACTACGAAGAATAACTCGCTGAGGAATTTAGCAATATAAAAACGAGTTAGACAAGGAAAGAAATAGGGGTAGACAAGGATAGCACCAGATAAGTGAGTAAGACAAGGAAAAGAATACAGGTAGACAAGGATAGCACTAGAGAAATGAGTTAGACAAGGAAAGAAATAGGGATAAAGAAGGATAGCAATAGTGCCAGGTGTTAGACAAGGAAAGATATATGGATAGACAAGGACAGAAAATTTGAAATCTGAAACCAGTACCATCTCGCGTTTAGTGACGCGAACTACGATTTTTTAATAGGAAAACAGAATATAAACAGAGGTATTAGACAAGGAAAGCACTAGTGTGCGACAAGGACAGAGAGAGAACGCTTCCTATTGGCTGGCGGGCCACCGAGCTCGGCCAATCAGGCTCTAAGTCAAGCCGATCGGTGAAAAATCATTAATAACTCAATAATTACGATGATTCCGTAAACTTTTAGAATTGAAGAATGTAGTTTGGACCTTTAGAAACTTTCTCGTATAAATTTTAATGCTCTAGACCCTTTCAATAATAAGTTATTAATAATTTTAGTGCGTGATGTCGGGACGATACCGTATTCCGTCAAGTACTTTGACGGTTTTTCAATAATTTCGTAGCTTTCTACTAAAGTCTCGTGCAACTAACTATACGCATCTGAAAGGCAACTCTTTTAGCTACTTTCTCATATAATTTTTATTAATATATTTCGTCTAGTTTAAGAGTTATTAGACATTCTTTGGGAGAGTGTTACACCCATGGCATTCAATCGTAACACATTTTCGTTATTTCAATGGAAACACATGATTAATTATGCACTTTCAAGCATGCAGAATCTAGAATGGACTTTTCTTTATATTCTGCAATTAGTTTTGTAACCCTAACTGGAGTGGTTTATTAGATATTAGCAATTGTTTATAACAGTTGTCTATACTCACGTACGATATATAGGGAATACTCCCTTATAATATTTAATAACTCCTAAACTAAACTGATTATATTAATAAAAATTATATGGGAATGTAGACAAAGGAATTGCCTTTTAGATGCGTATAGTTAGTTGCACGAGAATTTAGTATAAAGCTATGAAATTATTGAGCAACCGTAAAGTTATGCGGTATCGTTCCGATATCACGTACTATAATTATTAATAACTTATTATTGCAAGGGACTAGAGCATTAAAATCTATACAAGAAAGTAGCTAAAGGAATAACTTTTCGAACGCATGTATAAAAGTGTATAAATTATTTAGGAAAAGCTGCAAAATTAATGGAAAACGAGAAGAATGTACGGTATTCCGTACTAACTTTGCCGACAACACGTACTATAATTCTTAATAACTAATTATTGAAAGGGTGAAGAGCATTAAAATTTATAGGAGAAACTAGCTAAAGGAACTGGCCTTCCAGTGAATGTATTAAAGTGCATAAATTTTACGAGTAAAGGTACGAAATTAATGAAAAACCATAACTGGCTTTCCAGTAAATGTATTAAAGTGCATAAATTTTACGAGTAAAGGTACGAAATTAATGAAAAACCAGAAGGGACTGCTGCGACATGGTGTATCGTTCCCGGCATCACGTAATATAATTGTTAATAACTAATTATTGAAGGGGTATAGTGCACTAAAAACTATATGTGAAAGTTGGTGAATGTCCACCCTACATTCTTCAATTCTAAAAGTTCACAGAATCGTCGTAATTATTGAGTTCTCAATGATTTTTCCCTGACCGACTTGATTAGCCCGTGGGAGACGGAATATGGCGGCCCGCCAGCCAATAGGAAACGGTCTCTGCACACTAGTGCGTTCCTTGTCTAATACCTCTGTTGATATTCTGTGTTCCTATTAAAATGTCGTAGTTCTCGTCACCAATCACAAGATGGCGTTGGTGTCAGATTTCAAATTTTCTGTCCTTGTTTAACTCGTTACAATCGTGCTATCATTATCTACTGCTATTCGTTTCCTTGTCTCTCTTCGTTATTACTATCCTCGTCTTTTCTATTACGTTTAATTGATACTTGTAATAAATTTTTAATTGCTTTAACATACTAGTAATGTAAACAGTAAAATACAGTTTAGGGAATATTTTGACGTACTTCAATTATGGAATAGTTAGTGCTCCTTGTAAAATAACAATTCACATGGTAGTTTATAGTTATATGGATGTCTTAAATAAAATGTTTACAAGCTTTAATTTAATAAAATAACTTCATTTATTAATTCTATATTGAATATACAATTGCATACAGTAGGCATTTTCAAATTAATATTTATAAATGATTTTTCGATATGCTACAGGAAGTGGACGTGGTGTGTAAGGGAGAAATAAGTAGAGTGTAAAATGCTGTAAAACAATACTGGCATATTGTGACCTTTTATAAAATACATTTTGTACAGTTATCGTATAATGATTTTTTATATATGTTGACTTTACCATCTTTAATGGTTGGATTGTACGTGACTCCTAAATTCACCGTTTTATATGGTGGAGGGCATAAGAAAAACTCTGATTTTTTACATGATCGGTATTTCAGAACGTTGGACACGAAAATATATTGGGTGTTAGGTCTATCCTGTACCTCGTCTGTGATAACATGTACTGTTTCGCTGCTGGTAAGTTGGCAGATGGAAGGAATGCGGGTCTCATTGGTTGTAGCGGATACACTTCTAAAGTCAGATCACACGCATTTTTATTATTGGCCGAAACGGTCACATCTACTAATCCATCGTGTAACGGCGACCATCAAAGGTGGAGCGAGCGGCTTACTCCCCTTGCCCCGGTGCCGTCCCGACTGCCAGCTTACCAGCTGCTAACAGTACATTATGTTTAAAGTACAAATAGTATGTACAAAGGCTCTAAAGTAAGGAGCACTGTTATGTGAAAATTTAAATGAAATATTGAATCAGTTTAATCGAACGAAAGACAAAATGTCATTAAAAACGAATACTGGATTACTAGGTGAATTAATACATTTATGTTACAGTGAATTTGGTGCATTTATGTTCAATACATTATGGATGATTTAATTTTTACAGATATTCCAGTACCACTTTCTTTATTTATAATCACTGTATTGTCTTTATGCTTTGCTAATAGTTACAATGGTGAATTTGTGTTTGACGATTCTGAAGCCATTGTACACAATGAAGATGTACAAAATAGTCCTTTGATAGATGTATTTAAAAATGATTTTTGGGGTACAAGACTGACACATAAGCAAAGCCATAAGTCATACAGACCATTAACAATTCTAAGCTTTAGGTAGTATTCTTTAAATCACAAGAAATATAACATGTTTGAGTGACAATTACAACTAGAATGCAACACTTTCAGACTACATTTTTGGCTTCGTGGAGCTCTGATAGCCCAAGACTATCATATAGTGAATATAGTATTACATACCATTGTGTGTATGCTGATGTTACCAGTATTTAATATACTTTTGGGCTCTAAAGAGAAGAGTACTGCATTCTATGCTACTGCGTTGTTTGCTGTTCATCCAGTGCACACAGAAGCTGTACGCAATCTATAACTAAGACTTTTTTCTTTTCAGAAAGAGTAATATCTAAATAATTTATTTCACTGTGCAGGTTTCAGGTATTGTAGGAAGAGCAGAATTATTGTGTGCTCTATTTATGTGGATATCTATTATATTTTACTATTACTCAATCTATGCAAGAAGATTAATGCATAGATGGTTGAGCATGTGTAGTTGCATTACATTTATTGCAACTGCAATGCTGTGTAAGGAAACAGGAATTACTGCAGTGGTAAGAGATAACTTTACAATGGATTCATTTATATTAACAGTAATAGTATTGTTTTTTAGGGAATTTGTTGTATATATGATATTATAGTAGTAAACAGACTATTCCCATCCAAAATAGTCTCATTTATAAAATCAAAGCATTCCTATGAAGGAATAAAACATTTTATCAAGCTAAGACAAAAATTATTAATCAGGCTCTTCATACTTTTCACATCCAGTTTAATACTGATGATCTCAAGATTCAGTGTTATGAGATACAAGGCTCCAACCTTTCAACCTGTGGATAATCCAGCATCATTCGTGCAAAATAGATTTTTACGAGCGTTAAACTATTGTTATATTTATTGTTTAAACGTATGGCTATTAATTTGTCCTGACTGGCTGTGTTTTGATTGGTCAATGGGCTGTGTACCCTTAATTACCTCTATTGATGGAAGAATGTCTTTTATTCTTCTTTTCTGGTTCATACTTAGTGCAATGATTGCATATACTTTCAACTCTTATCACGACAAATTTTTAAGGTACTTATATTTTCGAAAATTTCTGTGATTATGAAATAAATCCCAAAAAAAGTTTTTCATTTTATAGATACTCAATTATGGGGCTGGCAATGCTTATCATTCCATTTCTACCAGCCAGCAACATCTTTTTTAACATTGGCTTCGTTCTGGCCGAGAGAACACTTTACATTCCCTCTGCTGGTTATTGCCTACTACTTGTTGTAGGATTACAAAAACTTTGCAACCGTGTTCCTATGCATTATTTATTCCTAGCATACACAGTTTTAATTGCGCTATTTTTTACAAAATCTTGGATAAGAAGTAATCAGTGGAGAACTGAAACCACGCTGTTTAGATCGGCACTGCACGTTTGCCCATTAAATGCTAAAGTACATTACAATATCGCAAAAAATGCTGCTGATAACGGAAATGCTACGTTAGCACAATACGAATACAATGAAGCATTGAGGTAAAATGAAACTTATATGTATAAGTCAAGTAAGAAAAGAAAAGAAAATAATAGTTGTATCTATTCAATAGATTAAATCCCACGTACGCTCAGGCTATGAACAATCTCGGCAACATACTCAAGGATCAAGGAAAACTTTTAGAAGCAGAAACTTTGTTTAAACGTGCTATTGAGCTGCAGTAAGTCTGATTATATCTGACTATTTAGGATACAATGGAAATGGAAAAGTTTTATGTAGTGTTGCCTGAAATTTTCCAGTCAGAAACATGGTGTCACTAAGTTGTGAGTTTTAGGGAAGACTTTGCCACAGCATGGATGAATTTAGGTATCGTTCTATGGGCAAGAAGGAAGTCCAAAGAAGCGGAAAAAAGTTACTTAACTGCACTTTCACATAGAAACAAATACCCCGATTGTTTGTATAATTTGGGTATGCTGGTTAGTAAAATTAATTAAAATTAAAGAAAAGAAAAAATATGAACGTGTAAATTTAAACCAAATACAATTGCAGTACTTGAAACAGAAAAATTACGATAAAGCATTGAAAGTTTGGGAATCTGCGACGAGACAAAAGAATACACACAGCAAAGCATGGGTCAACATGATATTGCTCCTTGATCAATTAGGTATGCAACTGAACCGCCGATACCGTGATGTGAGTACAATGTACATGTTGTTGTAGGTAGGCGCGAAGACGGGCTTAAAGTAGGGTATCAAGCTCTGCAGTTCCTACCCAATGACGCTTTTATTCATTTCAACATTGCAAATATATTGGGAAAAACTGGAAATTTCGAGGAGGCGGAAGTGCACTTCAAAAATGCAATATCGGAACATCCCACAAGCGCTATGTTCTACACAAATCTGGGTGTACTGTATCATAGATGGAATAAATTTCACGAAGCGGAAGATATGTATAAGAAAGCATTAGAAATTATGCCTGAACTAGAAAGTGCGAAAGCGAATTTGAGAAAATTGAATACTATAAAATCATTGTAGAAATGATTATATTGGAAATATATATATTTAAGAGAATGTTTGGTACCGAGAGAAAAACGTTGTGATGGCAAACCTAATCTCAAGCCTTGGTCACCTTGTTTTTCACTAGTTTTACGTATTGCTCACCCAAACAATCATCCTTTGTTTTCCTCAACTTTCTCGCGTATTGCTCACCCAAACAAACCAGCTTAAATCTTTGTATCCATACAATTAATTACCAACCCCTCCAACTTTAGACGGTAAATTATATATAAGAAAGCAATTACCATCTTAAGATCAGTCTCTGTACAACCAGCAAACCTCCATTATACATTAAAACTCTGTATCTTGCAAACATGTCCTTTGGCATAACAAACATTGAGTAAAACCCACTTTATTCACTACCACACCCCCTACATCATTAATAAAATAATTTACTTTTTTATACAAAAGAATCATATATCTATTTTTCCTGCCACGGCTGCAGTATTGCGTGGATACGAGTACGCGTCGAAATTTCCGATCTTTCTGCCATCGATATAATTGTAAGACATAAAACAAGTATGGCAAAAATAACAAGGATTATGCGGTATTCTCTCGTGTTCTATCGTAATCCAGTCAGCGGTATATACGCCACATATCATGCAAAATTTAGTACCCGTGGGTCTTATTCTGACTATTTTCGGATATGCAGATTCAACTAACTCATCGTCACAATTGACGAACCTAAAAGTAATAAAAAAAAAAACGAATTAAAAATGGATAATTTTTGAAAATGAAGAATTTCTTAAGCAATAGAATTACCTAGCATTACTAAATACAACCAAGTGTTCACAACCACCTTGATGTTTATATACCCATGGAAAACCAAATCTTAAATTCAAAGAATCTATTCTGCATTCTTCCATTGGAGCAGTTTTAAAAGGTCCTAATTTTGGCCTTCTCTGTGCCCAATCAATAATCACTTTACTGTAATCAAAATTTGTTGAACATCTGGTATCATTATAAAAAGTATCTTCAATAAAAAAGAATCCGGATTTATAAACATCCTAAAATAATGATTATCTTAAAATACAAGGACAATATAATTAGTTAAACACAATAGAAGGATAAGTTACTTTTGCCATTGGTCCTATTGCATTATCCAAATTGTTACTACATTCCTTAGAAATACTGTGATCAGCAATACATGATATTTTGTCTCTCAAATGGGCAAGTGTTTGAGAACCCAATATAGCTAGAACATTATTTAGCCTAAGCAATGAACCACATTCTTTCTTTGGTCCATTCTTTGGACGCTGTGCAAAAGGATGATAAATTCTGACATAAACAAGAATATCTTGACCAGGAATAGCCCATTCCTCAATTGGTTCTACTTTTCTATCATCATTCTGAAAGATGGAATAATAATTGTATTTTAGAAACATTAATTTTTCTTTTTATCCCATATCTCAAACACTTACTATGAATAATTCACTTTGATATTTATAACTAGGTCGTTTAGTCTCCTGTTTTAATCTTTGTTTTAAATTTTTAACAGTCTGTAAATCTACATCCTCTGGTTCCTGAGGATCAAACGTGTCTTTCTTTCTCATTTTTCTGTTGTTAGGTATTTTTGGAGCTTCTCCTTCCACTGTTAAACTGTCAATACTAAAAATCATACGCACTTTTTATTTTTAAAGATCAAAATTGAAATTTAAAAATAATAAAGTACCTGCAATAATGTGTTAACATAGATATCTCGTCTTCTCCGAGTTGTACTCCCATTAGTGTCAAAAAATTAGAGTTTTCTTTTTTCATGGGTATAAAAGATTCAGAAGACGCTATCAGATTTCGATAATTATCGAAATATTCTTTTATGTGCACCTTTGACGATGCATTATTATTGTACAATTTATATACGTCGTCCATCGTAATATATTAAAATAATTCTAGTAACTACGCTTATTTCTTAACACATCGATAAAGAATTGCGAAGGGAATAACAAGTTAACTACGTCATTTCGTAATTGCTTTAAAAATGAAATATAAAATTGACGAACATTTCATTCAAACTGTATTACGTTTTGTTTAAACAGTGTTTCTTAAATCGTACTGTACTTTTTACGAAAAATATCTCATTAAAACGTATTTGAGAATCACTGTTCTATACTTTATACGTATTACGAATTTTCTTTGCACTTGATTGGTACACTCTCTTAGAACTGCAAACAACCAATAATCTCCAGAATCTAGGAGAATATACATCTAATGCGTCATAACTCTAACTACGTATCTACAAGAAGGCATGTTTCTCTTAAAAAAACAGTAGATGGCAGAACGATACAAAGTAGGGAACCACGTTACCAACAGAAACTGTTTTAAATACTTACCATCGATCAATCATTTATTTAAAAAATATTAACTGAACCTGTTTATTTAAAAAAACAATCAACCGAAGAGAAAGGATTTGGAAGGAGGGATCCCTTTAGTTATTTCGCATTAAACTATAAATATTATCCCTATCGCGTACAGAATCCAAATAATAAAAACAAAATTTAAAACATTTAAATAAACTAACAAAAATGCTTCCAAACGACCAAAACATAACGAAATAAATCTGCATACTTCCTCCGCAGGCGATAATTCACAAGTACATAGAAAGTGTAAAGCGCGTCACGCCAGAAAGAGTATCCGAAAGTGGTGGCACGAGGGAAGTAAGCAAGCAAGTAGAATAAGACAATGAATGCAAGGCACGAGGGTACAATGAAGAGGCGTAAACCAGTCCTGCTCACGGTGCACTGCTCTCGCCAATGGTCCGTGCGAATGTGACTCCGCCTCTTAAGCGTGGCCAGCTTTCCCCCCTAGTGCCATCGTGATTGTTGGCTGTGCTTGGTTGAGCGTGCGCGCCAGCGTGCCTCTCACACACACACCGTCGACTGTCCGTTTCTACGAGAGGGTGCCCGATGACTGATCACACGGATGCGCAGAATTGTGCGCGGAGCATCAGTGTGAACGGCCACCGATTGGTCGATCGACCACTTGCAGCCCTCTCATCTTCCATCCTCCTCACCCTTGTATTCCATCGCATATCACCGTTTCCCTTTCTCTCTCTACCTATCGGAAACACTTCTCCGTCCGTCTCCCTCTTTCACACGCAATCTCCGCTCCTTTTTTCTCTCCCACTCGTTTAAACGTGCATGCACGATCATGCACGATAAAACAAGTAGTAGGTGGGTGCGTCCTTTTACTCACACGTTCTCCTAGCCACGAGATACTAAACCTCTCTCAACATTACCATACCAAACACACGTATCGGTGTATGACTTACCAGAGAACACAGGCGGGGGCCGAGTTCTAAGGCTACGCTACTAGCCGGAGAGGAGATTTCTTATTTCTGCTCTGGTAAATCTGTCGCCCCAGTCAGTGAGGCAGCGAAGGGCGAGCCGCGCACCATTGACCGTGTCCGTGCTTCTTTTTTCGTCTCGTCTAGGCCGGCGTTCTTCGTTCGTTCTCCATCTCTCTCTCTCTCTCTCTCTCTCTCTCTCTCTCTCTCTGTCTCTCTCCACGCTGCTCCGACTCCCTGTATCCCTTTCTCTCTCTCTAACGTGGTCACAGGGGACGACAGTACGGTACCCCGCGCTCTTGTACGACAGATTACATACCGTGGCGCGAAATTGTCGCGGTTTTTCCCTCGATACAACACCGTCCACAGTGGATACACTCCCTTTTACTACTACCAGGGTGAATGAAGAAAACCGGCCCGGCTTGAAGGAACGATTCCGCTCACCAGTTTCGCAAATCAGTGCTCGAAATTTCACCTGACCACTCCGTTATCACTTTCTCCACGCGAATGAAGTTATCGTTGCGACAATTTCCTTCACGTTGCATCAGTGAAGTGTAACCGTACCGAGACGTCATCTTCGCTTCTTATCGCTTCGAAACGACGACTGACACGCCGGGGACACACATCTGTGATGAGTATAATTGCAAAATGTGAAGGTAGAAGGGATGCTGTTGGTTGAAAGAACACGGTGGTGTATGGTGAACAACTGAGTGTGTTAAATATACAGAGTTATCTGGGGATTTTTTTAAAGGGACATACTTCTTGTCAAGACGTTGGTTAGATCCAGAGAGAGAGAGGGGGAGAGAGATTGGTTGGAGTAGTGTAAACAGAGTGAAGAAGAGGTAAATATCGACGGAGGAGGATCTGCAGAGTTAAGGAGGATCCGCGTTGCATGTAGCCGACGGCTGCAAGGCTGCTCTTCCTGATGGATCCCATCGTGTTAGGTGAGAGATCGTCTCTACGACTGAAATTGTTTGTTAAATTAAAATATCTTCAAGTTTGTTCAATTACCGCGAGTTAAGTTTGACGTAAATAATGGTTCAACCCTTTGACTGTCTATTGGTCACCGAAAAGTGAAGCGTTCGCTGTGTTCGGCTGAGTTGCAGCATTGATAGTCACAACATAGATACAGAAGCTGTTAAATTATCCCTAAATTTATCAAGTTTAATTAAATTCGAAAATAAAATATTGAAATAAATACTGTTTTAACCCTTTGACGATTGGTCAGTGAAGAGTAGAGCGTTCTTCTCTGTTAAACAGCATTAACAGCCACTATATAAATAAAAAAGAGCGGTGTGGGCGCTAATACAGGATGATCCACGAGTCCATATTTATCGTTTAAAAATCGAACAACATTTTCTCTACTTAGTGTCTCAAAATTTGTTCTATTAAACGTTTTCAAGTTTACTTACGGACCATTCTGCAGTAAACGGTAAATATAGGCTTCAATAGCAGTCAAAGGGTTAACATATTCTGTTCGTAAATTTTCCGAACTACCATTGGACCAGTCGAAGAAGAACAAACGTTAGGGTATCAATATCCAGATATTGGAAAGTGTCGATTGAATCATATGATCATACGATACGTCAACTATTTCGTGTGCTATTAATGGAACCGTCCGTTTCGTTATCTCGCGTAGAATTTTAAACTGTGATGTAACTTGGAATAATCGTCGATCTTCTTGCGAGCGTCTCAGTTTCCTTTTTCCTCCATCGGTGGATGGAAGAATTGGTGACGCGTGTATATGTCAATCAACTTCGACCTAATTGAATTTATAATTAAATGGAGACGTGGCGCTTGCATGCGTTTGTATCTGGCGCCGTCGCTCGCCACTTATTAATTTCGCGGCTAAACGATAATGAAATAGGTTGCCGCGAATTATCTACCAACACGAGCTCACCTAAGCGCTACTTTCCTTTCAAACTTCATCTTTATCCTTGGCTAGATTGGATCTAAGTCTCTGCTGTCCATCAGAGAAGTTTCAGCCTTCTTCGTTGATAATAAAAAACCGTCTGTTCTTCGTAATTCGTCGCAAACGGATAGAAAGATGGATGAAAGTGTAGGGGAGAGTTGTCAAAATTGAACCCCATTTCCATTTCATGCTCTGGATCGTGCTTTCCACGAGTGCTTCGTTACAGTGAAAGCAAAAGCACTCTTCTTTATCAGTACAAACTGTAACGTCTTCTTTAGCTAATACTCTTAGTCATCCTAAATTTGTCAAATATCGCCAATACTTTCACGATAAAAATATTTCTTAGTAATTACATAAACGGCTAATTTAACGTTCTATGCTTGGTGTACCACGTTGAACACGTAGAATTGGCGAAACGTAATTTTTCCAAGTGAAAATAATGCTCGCGAAACAGTGTATACAAGTGGATACAAGTGAGTTCCATTCATAGAAAGTATACTGTACTCATTTCTCCAGCAACCTTTGGCCTTGCTGGGTCCCGGATGCCCTCTCTCGGTCCTTATCGCCCTGCTTTTGATCTTTTTTCCCAAACTCTCGAGGCAGCTGAGGCCTCGCCAAGCCTCTCCCGCGAGTAAACGAACGATCGCGTTTAATAATTATGTCAGCGGCGTTTTCTCGTCTTGACGAATATCGAAGCGGACCGTTCTCTAACGAGGCTGTTTCGTTAGACCAGCTTCCTGGTGAGCAATGATCTACGCCACTTAGATACCGGTGCGCGTCTCAGCCAACTGCGTATCTCTCTGTTACTATGAAAATTTCGGACGTGATTTTACGTAATTAGGTAGTCACCTCGGAAGGAGGATATTTGTTGTAGAATAGGAGAAAAATAATTGATCGTGTATAATTTTGTGAAGAAGAAGGTCGATACACGAGAAATGACACGTTCAATCGTATCGAAACGAGGCGCGTAAGATGACCTACATTTTGGTAACGCAGGATCATAAATCTCCATGATGTTCCACGTTTGTTGTGACGCGTGAAACGCTGCCGATGACCTAGATCTGACGTTACCCTTGCAATAATTCCATACTGGACACGCGGCACACTTTGCGAGGGAATTGCGAAAATTGAAATATGATAAAAACGTGTGATAGAAAAGTCGGAGGGAATAGCGATAGCGGTGAATCTGAAGGATAGTAACGAATAGAAATCGCTATTTAAATTATCCTAACGAATATTATAGAGAACTCTGTGAGAAAAGTGATAGCGGTGAATCTGAAGGATAGTAACGAATAGAAATCGCTATTTAAATTATCCTAAGGAACCTAATAGAGAACTTCGAAAGAAAAGTGATAGCGGTGAATCTGAAGGATAGTAACGAATAGAAATCGCTATTTAAATTATCCTAACGAATATTATAGAGAACTCTGAGAGAAAAGTGATAGCGGCGAATCTGAAAAACAGTAACGAATGTAAATCCACTGTAATACAAAAAACACTCTAACAGAAACCACTGAAAATTAAAATTGCTGTACCATGAAAATTACCATTTTCAACGAATAACAATTTTCACTGATACCAATAAAAGAAAGAAGCTGGGTAGGTGAAGAATTGTGACGAACATTTCGCATATACCAAGAGTAACAAAGAGAAACGATAGAATTCGAATCGATGTCCGCGGTTTAAAACGCCTGCGTTATCGGGCTCCGGTTCTTTTTTTTTTTTGTTTCTCGAATGACGTTGACAATCTCCGAAGTCATTGACACCAATACACCCGTGTACGCACGTACAGTTCAAGACCTCGATATATGTAACGAGATACATTGGAGAACGTATATGTATATCCGAGAGATAACAGCATCCCGAACGTAGTCCTCCTTCGTTCGGTGTACATAGAGAGAGAGAGATACGGCGGACAATAAAAATTTGTCACGACACTGTAACGAACGATTAACCGTTAATGTTCCACCGTTATTTTGCACGATTGAGGAGAGACCTTTCAGCTGAGACTATCTGTGGAACGTTGGAATTCATCGGTCGTGTTTCTCTGCGGATATTGACGGGGATTAATTGAACGATTACGTCTATCAGAGGATCTTTAACAACGTTGTGAAAATCGCGAGATCGAGGAAGATTTCGGTGGTAAATTGGGAGTAGTCGAATATCGTAGGAATTCTCTGAATTTTAGTGGACGATTAGAGTTTTCCTGTTTTTCGAAGATGTAGAAATCTTTGAAATTACTGTCGAAGTCTCGGGATTAAGGAAAATTCTGAGTTTAAACGGAGAATAGCGAAATGTCGTGTAAATTCTCTGAATTTAAATTTTCCTCTTACCGAAGGATACAGAAGTCTTCGAAATTAAGGAAAATTCTGGAATTGAAGGGAGAATAGCGAAATATCGTGCAAACTCTCTGACTTTAAATTGTAGATTAAATTTTCCTCTTACCGAAGGATACAGAAGTCTTCGAAATTAAGGAAAATTCTGGTATCGAACGTAGAACAGTGGAATATCGTACGATTTCTTTGAATTCAACTTGCCGATTACACTTTTTCTGTTTAAAGAAGATAGAGAAATCTTCGAAATTATTGTGAAGATTTCGAAATTACGAAAAATTCTGGAATCGAACGGAGAATGGCGAAACCTGTCGCCTAAATTCTCTGATTTCAACTTGCAGATTAGGATACAGATGTCCTAGAAATTATTGACAATGACAGGAAATGTGCAGTTACAGATTCATTAGCGTTCAATTAGTACAGTTTGTTCCAGTTAAACAAGGAAGCCAGCTTTTAAGGGGTCCAGTTGACAAAGGACTGCTCAAATACTTATACAAGCTTCTGGAGTTCTCCGAGGCTACCTTAGGGACTATTTGTTTGCGATATCCTCTTCAGGATGTTTCCAACGATTCTGCTCGCCTGCGGGTTTAAAAGCACGGTGACAATTTTCGCTCGCTAATTTTCGTCGTCCCTTTAAACCTAATTCCCTCCGAGAAAGTCAATTTACCCGGTACAAAAGACTTTGCGGTCTTTCCTTCCGTAAGAATGTTCGCCCTCAGATATCGTACACCGATAAATTATAAACGACAATAAACTATCTTTTATGCATGAAACTTAGTATTTTATAACTAATACTAGGTTGAAACGTTGAAATAAAGGGACTATTTGGACCGTAAAGGGTTAACGCTCCTGTAAATCCTCGAAATATTCCTAATTCTATCAAAATTTTCAAGCATCTGTTCACATTCTAAAACATCGTCGAAACAATAACCAACTATCGTAAGAAAAATCCTTTTTCACAGACGCTAAAATTACACTTTATCTTAATTCCCAGTGAACCTACAAGTTAATTTGAGCAGTTCAGACGGTGTATACGTAATCGTAGATTACCGGAGACGTAAGGAGAGATATGAATTTTTATCATCTCGTTAAGCAACACTCCGATGCGTCTTCTTACTCTTTCCAGTCGTATTTTCTCTCTGTATATTCTACATACGTTACTGTATTACTCGAAACACCGTCAAAGAGATAATATTACAATAGCTGTACCTAAATCGTTCGAATAAAAGATTCATTCACTGTGTGAATCTGTGAATTAACTAAGAAATAAATTCTACGTTAACTAGAAAATCAGAGAGGACGTGGAAAGAATTAAACTAGTGGATAGATGAACGAGTGTAAGTTGGTGAATAATAATTATGAAAACGTTGAGGTTGCGACTGTGGTACACGGAGAAATGTAGCGTGAGGCCGCGATTTGGCTATGAAAGCGTGGCAGGGTGGAACGTATCGCATGGACTATTAGATACGGCATATAGTCATCCACAAACAACGATCATACGGCGAAACGATCCGGAGATGTATTGTTGACAAGTTATTACTTGCACGATTTGGACGTGAAGTTCTGCATACCCGTCCCGTGATTCAAGATCCTGGCTGTCAGCCACAGCAGATTCTTCTAATAGCCCATCCCAAAAACCTGTCGCGACTCTATATACCGTTCGTGGTCGAGTAGCAATTTTCGTCTCGGCACAGAGGATGCTTTCAATTACGGCTCGCTGTTCACTTTACTTCGGTATTCATCTTCTTGCCCCTACACCGGGGGAAATTTAACGCAGCGATTTACAGCGGACGGGAAATTGTTACTGCGGATGGCGAATAGAAGGATAGTTGCGAAGTTGTGAATGGAAGAATTTTTGGGTGGAACGTTCTTTGTCTTTTATTTTTCGTTGGAAAGAAGTTGAAGAGGAGAGAAAATTGTAAACGTGGGAAATTCTGGAGAACTGTGGAAACTTGAATCTTGGAAAATTGTGGAAAACTTTGGAAACTCGAATTTTGAAAAATTGTGGAAAACTCTGGAGACTCGAATTCTGAAAAATTCTGGAGAACTGTGGAAACTCGAATCTTGGAAAATTGTGGAAATGGGATGATAATTGTAGAGAAAATTTAGGTGGAATATTTGTTGATTTTTAAATTTTGTTTGGTATTCGTGTTTATGGTTCCCCGCGGGGAAATTTGATTCTGTGGTTTAAAGAGGAGAGAAAATTGCGAATGTGCGAAATTCTGGAGATCTGTGGAAATTCAAACATTGAAAAACTCTGGAAATTTAAATTTTCAAGTGCTCTGAAAATTTAAATACTGAAATACTCTGGAAAGATTTTCCACAGCGTGCAGAAATGTAGAAAAACTCAGGGAGATATTTTCCAAGCTTAGTATTTCTAAGATTAACTCTAGAAAAATCGTGGAAAAATGTCAAAAAGCTCGGGGGAATATTTCTCCCCCTCTGAAAGATGGAACAATATTAATTTCAATATGGATTCCTTCCTTTCATTTTCAAAGTGGACAAAGTGCAATTTCCCATTTTTCTATTTGAAAGTGGATTGCTTAAAAAATCTACCGATGAATTTTTCGATAAAATTGAGCATCGTTTTCGCAAAAATCCAGACAAGTCGGTGCGGTGAAACAAAAGGGGAAAAAATGGTGGTCCACACTTTCGCGGTGGCGAATTTTTTGCTCGTCGATCGAATATATTTCGGTCCCACTGTCATCGCGTATTCCAGATGCGAGAGCGGGTCCACTCCACGCTCACGCACACGCGTGTTGCGGGATAAATTTTGCACGGGTGTATTTTAGGTGCACGAAGAAAGGTACGGTTTACTCTGGCGGGTAAGAAAACCAGTAAGAATCGCATGGAAAACGCGGCATAGTATGTTAAGGGAAATCGAAAAGCGAGCGTAAATGTCACGAATCGCTTCGAACTGGTGTAAAGTGATTAAAACAACGTGGAAGCTTGTCAACCGTGGCAAAACAGTTCAAAAGAACATGAACAGAGGTGGACGTTTACGAGCCAACGTGAACATAAGTGTGAAATGTGATTCAGCGAAGGAAGAAGCTTTATCCTTCTTTTCTCTCTCTCTCTCGTGGAAAATTGATTAACAAACAGTTGGAGTATTTTATTAAAACAAATACGTGCAACGTCTG